GAGCTGTCCCTGGAGCCCAGCTCCCATCTCCTTATGGTAGGTTGATTCTCTCTTTAGCCTGTACTAGACCTCTCACCTCAAGGGAGAACTTAGGAGTCAGGCCTCCTAAAGCAGGTTGAGACTGGGAGGCCCCTCTCCTTCCCTGAGGTGGCTCGCATGGAACATCTGACACTGACTTAGGGGAGAGAGAGCCATGGCTTCTCTGTTCATGTCAGAAGGATTTGGGGTTAATTTTGGCTAATCCAGTTTTGAGTGGGCTTTGGGAGGGGTGCCCCTTGTCTCAGTGCGGAGATCTGGGAGCGTGTTCCTCTGCTTCTAATTTCTGCTCAGCATTAGTCATGCTCTCCTCTGAAGCAGCTACTTCTCCAGGCAACAGTAACCCTCAAGGTGACCTGGCTTCCAGATGAACTCTCCCCACCTGCTGAGGCAGGCTGACCAGGGCACTGGGACCTGGTTGTATGGTCATATTCTGGATTGGATCACTTTGGCTTTAATTGAGAGACAGATAGATGGCAGTTTTTGCAGGTTCAGCCATGTTAACTAGCTGATCTTTGAGTGTCTCAGTTTTCTTCTTTTGTCTTAGCTCTCACAAAGCAGGAAAGAAGCGTGTGATTCACTGTCCACTTTATCCATCTCATGCTGGGATTCAGGATCCAGAAACTGTCTTTTATTCTTGTCTACTGTAGGTGTTGGGTCTTCTCCTGGTGGCTGAAGGCCACATCTAGTAGAGTTTCCTGCCTAGGGGCCAGAAGGGCTATGCTGATCCTGGTCCTCACAGCCTGGGCTCTGCAGGTTTCTCCAAGCTTCTGGTTGTCTCATCTTTGGTGGGGTCAGTGATAAGTCCTCTATCAGACCTCAGTTCCCTGACCTCAGTGATGGGCCCTAGGAATGCTCTCAGGCCTGGTCAGTTTTTGGTTTTTAACATCCTATACTAGGGCAGGCTCCTTTTATGGTGCTCAGCACTGGGAGAATGACATTGAGTTGAATTCTTGACAATCCTTTAAAGACTGTGAGAACATTTTTCTCTCTGGAGGTCATGGGGAAAGAGGGGAGGGTTCCTACTGCAAGGGCAAAATGCTTTCTCCTCCAGGTACCCCTCTTCCACCTTCCTCCCCTAATATGGTGAGCTTACTTTTTAAAAATGCCATTGTTATCTATTTGATTTGCATATGTGTGGGTTTGCATTCACATGCAGTACACTTAGGGTCTATAGGACCTGTAGGCCTAGAATGTCCTCCTGTGGGAGCTGCAGGGAGGCTAGCCAGAGGAGGACACAGGTAAGGGAGTAGACTGCAAGGGAAAGTAGGTGGTGGATTCAGGCCAGACTAGGGCCTCAGGACTGCTGGTCCTCCTGCCTGTGTCCTCCCTGCCCACTTTCAACCCTCACTTGCATACCTAGGAGCAAACAGGTCCCACCTGAGGACTTGAAGCTGCTTTGGGAAGTCGCTCCTCTCCCACTGTCTTGGCATTTCACCTCTAGCAACTCTTGTAAAGCATTGCTTCATCTTTCAGCCCTGCAGACATATATATCTATGAAGCAAAATGTCTGGGTAGCTGCTGATTCCAGGTCTTGTGGTCTTACGAGAAGCCATGCCTCTATGTCCAGAGGGACCTGTTAGTCATGTTGACTGTCCAGTTGTCCAGCGGCTTGCAAAACTCCCTCCAGGGGCTGCTTTGGCAATTTTTGTCTCTTTCCAAAGCCAGACTGGAGGAGGCCACACGGTGGCTCAGCCACTGAGCCCCCTGGAGATGACTATTAGCCTTCAAATTTTACTGATGATGAAAGAAGGGGTTCTATTCACTTAGCAAATATTTACTTCCTGCCAAGGTTGGCAGTCAGAAATGGAGACACAAAGATCAATGAAAACACAGTCCTTAGCCTGAGGAGCAGCTGCAAGACAGGGATGGTGAGCAGATAATCACATAGGCTGAACTCTAGGAATACCATAGAGTGCCTTGGTCAGAAGTGGGGGATTCTTCCATTTGGGTCTTGAGGGATGTGCAGGAGTTGTTCAGTGTATAGAGGAATAGATGGTATTCCCAGCATGCACAGAGCCTTTGTGAAGAGATAGGTAGCAGGTGAGACTCTCCACTCTGTGGGGAGATATGGGGCCCACCTGCTGGTGTGCTATGCTGAGTGAGCAAATGTGAGGAGACATGAGTGAGGGTGGTCAACAGGGTGTGAGCTGTCTAGGAGGGCTCAGAAGGGAATCGTAAGATAGGAGCTCATGAAGGTCCTTGGCGTGCCCTGGGGGAGTCTTGAGTATGGCCGTGGTGAGGGTAGGAAGTGGATGGAGCAGTTATGTAAGGAATCTCAGAACTGACTAGACAGAATGAGACAAGGGTGTGGCGGAGGGCTTGGGATGCGTACGGATTTTCTGCTGGGTAAAGGTATGTGGTCCAGCTGACAGAAGTAAGATTAGCATGCACTGGGAGTGTCAGACCAAGTCAGGACTGTTATGCCTAAGCCAGCTTCCTCTCTTCTTTTTCTGCAGCCCCCACCCGCCCCCAGCACAGGGCCTTGTGATCAGGGATGCTTAATACCTGTCATCAGAGGGAAGAAAGACTGGCTTTCTTGTTGGGCTCAGATTCGAGAAGCTTTAGGGCTATACACAGCTCCAGTCCCCTCCTTTTCCTGTAAGGCACATGGTCTGTTTTGAGGGTCGATCCAGGGCTTCCTCCTGACCAGTGTTGTGTGCCCTAGAAGCACATGACTTTTCTTCCCACAGCCCAGAGTTGTGCTGAGAGGCCCTCATCTCATCCAGGGCTTCCTGAAACTTTGTCCAGGGGCTCAGGTTTGCCTGCTGTATTCCCTGTGTGTTCTTGAGCTGTCAGCAGTCTGGGATGAGGCTGTGCCCTCAGGCTCATCCTCCCTGCAGGTTCCTGAGCAGGTTCTCTGTCATTCATTTATCAACACCCTGGTGAACCCACCGAGGTTCTTCACGTCCCCGCTGCCACACTAGTGCACCCCTATTGGCTTGTTTTCTGCCAAGCAGGAAGATTCCACACCTGTAGCCTGCAGCTGTGGTCTCCACAAGTAGGGCAGTGAGTGGAACAAAGAAGAGAGGGAGAATTCACACCACTCATTTTAGTCTGCGTTAGTTCTTGTCTCCCACTCCCTCTCTTGCTTTTGTTTTTTGAGACAGTCTCACTTTGTAATCTTGGCTGACCTGAAATTCACTAGACTAGATAGCTCATGGACTAGACCAGCTCATAGAGATCAGCCTGCCTCTGCTTTCTGAGTTCTGGGATCCCAGGTGTGTGTCACCATGCCCAGCTCTGGTTCTAGCTAATGAGTAGTTATTGTTAACCTCTTGATGTGCCTGGTTTGCAAAATTTTTATTGGAGGTGATGTATATTAGGGCAGCAGCAGTATAATACATGTAGTTTTTGGTGCCAGCTACACTGTAGGCGTCTGTAGAGGTCTTGGTAAAGATGGGTATCTGAATACTGGATTTGAGTACTTAGCAAGTGCTTGGCCTGCCTTTGATCCCATATCCTGGTGACAGATGTGGTCCGACTGAGCAGGGAGGCCACAGGAAGACCTTTCATGCCTAGTGACTTTCCGGTATCCCCTGTGTCACACTGGGCAATTTGGCCTGGATGGCAGGCCGAGTGTTCCCAGGAGATGGTTACTGGGTGAAGTAAGAACATGGGTAGAGCCTGCTGCTTTCTCTCCAGGGATGGGCAACGCTGGACGGGTCTGTGTGTGTGGGATGCTAGCAAAGGTAGCACATTATTTCCTTGCCTCCCCCTAGTGTGGTGGGCGGGCAAGGGGGTGGAAACCGTCTTTGAAACGAAACAGTTAAGCATGCCATGAGAGTAGGGTCTGAGAAAGGCCATAGGTTTGTTCTAGGTGCATGAAGCCTTAGTTACAATTTGGTGGGACTTTTATTTCAGTTGTATGTCGGGGAGACAATACAATATTTTCAATGCTCTGGGCCTTTGAGATCCTTCCTAAACTGGAAACTGGAGATGTTTAGAGAAGAGCACAAGAACCCAGCAATATTCACACCCCAGCGCCAACTCACTGCCTGAGGAAAGAAGTCGGGCGCGCGCGCAGAAAGCAGCTGGCTGCCCCCTCCTCTCCTGTGGGCGGAGCTCCCTCCCACTCGGAGTTTGTTTGTAATTTACTTTTGGAGCGGTCTCTGGTAGCTTCAGTAGGGAGGAGTTACCACCCTCCAGTGAGTGGAAGCCAGGATAGGGCTGCGAGGCGTCCGAGAATGCGAGAATGCGTAGCCCAGCCCAGCACTGACAACTCACCCCAAATGTCAGCTTTCATGTATAAGTGGAGCTGTTCAATTCTGTGATTTAGGGGCATCTCACATACTCAGGCCATACCTTACTTCTCTAGGTTGGGCATCTCGGTTGATCTTGTGGTTTTGTTTTGCTGGTGGTATCGGGGATAGAAGCTAAGGTTTTGTACATATTAGACAAGTGCTCTCCCACCCTGGGTTGTCCCTGACTTCTGGTCATTGTCAGTGTAAACTGGCGGGAGTGGTGGTGTATGTAGAATCACTTGCACAGTTGCAGCCATGCTGTTCCCCCTGAGGCTCTGGGAGAGGTGGCCATTACCTGTGGCCACTAGCTCTTCCGCTGCCTCCTGAGGCCGAGCTTCTCTTCCCATGTATTTTGGCCACCTGAGTTTTCCTTGAGTCTCATGAGAACCCCCATCCAAGAGGATTTCAATCACATCCAGGATTAGTGTCACTTTTTTCTTGGGAACCTGTCTTCAGAGCCACAGATCTCTGCATACTGTGCCCATGAGCACCTCCGCAACCATTAGCCTAGCACTCTCATGACAGTTGACACGGCTGACTAGTTTTCAGCCTTTTATCTTCTGTTTTATGAGACTTAAGTGCAGTGACTGTGTCTGCACTTGGATATCCCAAGTTCCCTTATGTTCCCAGGAGTCTTTGCATCCTGGGGGCTCACAGGTCCTGGCAGCTTCTGGGTGTTGCTAGACAGGCCTCCCGCTGATGGCAGCTCTGTCCTTGCAGGCAAATTTCTTCGTTATGAGCTGGCTGCTGGGATACGTGGACCCCACAGAGCCCAGCTTTGTGGCAGCTGTGCTCACCATTGTGTTCAACCCACTCTTCTGGAATGTGGTGAGTACCATTGCGCTGACATAGGCTAGCTGGTGAGCCTGGTGTGGTGGGATCACTGCTACCAGCAAGCCAGACACACAGACAGTGGGCTAGACGCTGGCTATCCTCTCTGCCTTCCCATGCCCTTCTTCCCTCTCAGGGTGCACTCATTGAGTGTACACTGAATGAGGGGAGACTCTTGCCTTTGTGGAGGCCAAGGGGCCAGTGTCAGGGTGACCTAGGATATCCCAAGAGCCTGCAGCTGATGGCTGCCTGGGGGAGGTCTCTCACCTGCAGCCAGCCTTCTCAGACAGCCCAATGCCCACTGCATTCGGTCAGCTGTTCTCTCTGTGCTCAGGCCCCACTCTGGTAATTGCTAATCAGCCTAGGCCTCCTGGAAGAGAGAACACAGGCTCCATCCAGCCATGCAATCCAGCAGCTTCCTGCAGGAGAGTCCTGTGGAGGGCCTGGGCTGTCTGGGACTTTACTACACAAGGACTAATGGGAATGGAGGCCTGAGTGCTCACTGAGGCAGTGATAGCCTGGGATTGCCTTGGAGCTAGGCTGTAGAAGGCTGTGCTTGGTGTCATCAGCACACTGATCCTAGACTGTTGTCAGTTCAGCTGTACCAGGGTGGAACACTGTATTCTTTTCAGCTGGTTTATGGCTTGGGTCTTTTTCCACCTGGTGGGTGGGGGCAGGGATGCTTGCTTGTTGGCACGAGCCACCACCTTCTGAATGTTTTGTCCCTGGAGTCCTGAACATGCTGGACCTGCCTTAGGAAGGGGCTGCTGGGAGGGGTACAGAGGTCAGACAAGACCACTGTGACCTCCCCCTGCTCCTGAGAAACCACAGCCTTGGAGTGTACTGTTAGGGTGTACCAGTGCTGGCCCTGGTTTCCTGATAGCTTTTTTCTGGCAAGGCCAGACACATGGTGCTCTGTGTCCTTAGCTTGCCCTATGCCTAGGAGCTAGCCTGCCAGGCTACAGGACACTCTAGGGGACAAACACTGATCTTAAGCCATGAGAGAATGTTTCTGGTGTTTTAAAGGAGTCAGAGGAAGCTAGTACAGGGCATTAAAGAGGCTTCTGGCCTGGCTAGGAGATACCTCACTCCTAACTCACTCTCCATTAGATGTTGTGTGCACAGGACTCTCCTGCAGGAAGCTGCTGGATTGCATGGCTGGATGGAGCCTGTGTTCTCTCTTCCAGGAGGCCTAGGCTGATTAGCAATTACCAGAGTGGGGCCTGAGCACAGAGAGAACAGCTGACCGAATGCAGTGGGCATTGGGAGTACTTTTATTGATGTCCAAGTTCCCTTTGTTCATCTCCCATTAACCCTCAAAGCAGTATTTTTTGCACACTTTTTTTTTTTTTGAGACAGGTTTTCTCTGTGTAGCCCTGGCTGTCCTGGAACCCACTCTGTAAACCAGGCTGGCCTGGAACTCAGAAATCCACCTGCGTCTGCCTCCCAAGTGCTTGCACACTTAATTTTGAAGCTGAATTTTGTCCATAGGAACAGCCCCAACAGCCTAAATTTGGAGACGAGAGCCTTGTGTCTGTATATTTATCATAAGCGGTTTCTTTCTTTCTTTCTTTCTTTCTTTCTTTCTTTCTTTCTTTCTTTTTTTCTTTCTTTCTTTCCTTCTTTCTCTTTTGGTCATAAGTTTTTTTGGTTTGCTTCTTTTTGAGCATTATGCCTTGGAAAGATGTATTGTCATTAGTGGAAGAAGGAGTGAGCTCTTCGTGGTCAGTTTGGAATGACAAAAATGGCATTGTGTTAAGGTTGGGTCAGGCACAGCTTGGAGGAGCTGAGGTGGCTTTTGGATGCAGGAGGACAGGGGCTGGAAGCCTAGCTCTGTGCTTTGTGGGGACAGGAAACTGCACTGTGAGCAGCGGCATGCTGGAAGAGTGCTGCAGTGTCTTATGACTGCAGCTCTGGGCATAGCTCACTGCTCAGGCTTTCTGCCCGGCAAGGTGCTGCCATTCTCACGCTAGGAAATGGGTCAGAGGAGGGTTTTAGCACCTTCTGTTGCTTTAACACAGCAGTTCTCATCCTGTGGGTCACAGCACCTTTGGGGGGTCAAACGTCTCTTTCACAGAGGTTGCATATCAGATACGCTGTATATCAGATATTTACATCATAATTCAAAATGGTAGCAAATTACAGTTATAAAGTAGCAACAAAAATAATCTTATGTTTGGGGTCGCCACAACATGGGGAACTGTATTGAAGGGTCACATCATTAGGAAGGTTAAGAACCTGCTTTGACAGAATAACTGGTACTAAGAACTGTGTAGAAGGAAGATGGATGTTTAATTCATAATCTCTGGAAGATCCCAACACTGTGGTGCCAGCATCCTGTCTTTCTCAACAACTTAAAATATAATGGAGAACCAGAAAGGGAAATGGCCACATGCACAAGAGGCCAAGCGTGTGTGGAGAGTTTCACTTTGTAAGAATCCACCCTCAGGAGAAATAACAGTTCTCCGGGACCAATGCCACCCCCTGCCCAGGGAGGTCTGCCATGATCTAGTCTCCTCACACTTGCTCCTCTTAAGGGTTCCAATCCTCCCAACACCATCATGCCAGGAAACGAGCCTTCAGCATGTCAGCTTTAGTGGACACACTGAAATCATGCCCAAACCATATCAAAGAGATTTGTCCATTATTGTCTGGATACTTATTGAAGGTACCTGTAAGAGTGCATGGGTCTGACCTGGCGCAGTGGCATCCTAGGAAGGGCAGTGAATGAGTAGACATACAAATTAACCCCTTAGAGACAAAGCAGGTAAGAGGGAGAGACAGGAAGGGTCGTCATGGAAGGCCCTGTCTGAAGGGATGGCCTTTGACCGAAACCCCACACTTGCATAAGAAATTGCTGGGTTTCTGGGGGAAAGTTGTAGGGACTGAGTTGATCTTTTTTTTTTTTTTTAAAGGTGGCTTATGAGAAGAGTGGGGAGGCAGCCAGGGTGAGTTAGGAGGCCAGCCCACTTTAGAGGCCCAGAGGGTGGCATGCAGCAGAATGGGGCCCTGGAAGTGGGGGGAGCATCAAGGAAAAGCCTGGCAGGCTTGCAATAGCAGCAGTGTGGCTGGTTCTGCTGTGGAGCTGGTGTGGCCAGCAGGAGGGTTGCCTCTTCACCAACCCGGGCAGCTGAGGCGGGTATGGTGTGAAGGATGACCATGAGGGAGAGCAACCTTCGGAAGAGTTTATTTGACTGATGGTTCCAGAGGGATTAGAGCCCACAATGGGGAGGAGGCGTGGCGACAAGGGGTAAGCATGGTGGCAGGAGCAGGAAGCTGAGAGCTCACATCTGTAACCACAAGCACAAAGCAGACAGGGCATACTGAAAGGGCCATGAGACATTAAATCGTCAAAGCCCAGTCCCAGTGACATACTTCCTCCAGTGCTGCAGACACTGGGTTCAGCCAAGGCAGCCACTCTACAGCCTCAGACTGCAGCTGTCAGTAGGAACCATCACGTGATATCAGACCCTGTGTCTGTAGCAGGCACCTGCACTACTCTAGCTTCTAAGCTGGTAGCTGTTACAGGCTCAGGAGGACTGTCAAGGAGGGCAGAGGTACAGCTCTTAGCCTGGCCAGGGCCCTTTGTGTCAGGTGTCTTTTTACTTATATCCCTGGTTACCCTGGTCCCAGCCCCTTACTGGATGTATGTCCCCCCTCTTTTCTAGGGCTTCCAGGAGACTGTTGTCCCTATAGCCTGTGGTGATCTTTGGCAGATTGCCTCCTGAGTCTTTTTCCCTCTCTTCCTGCCTTCTCTGGCTCTAGATTGCAGACATTTGGGGCCAGTTACCCAATGCACTGTAGGAGGAGCAGCAGCCCTGGCTTCTGCCCAGCAGAGGTCAGTAACACTGTCTTTGGAGACTAATGCAGTGGCCCGAGTGCTCTGAGTGCCTGCTCTGTATCTCATGCATCCCTTAGCACAGCTGCTAGGAATGCTGATCCTGTTATCTTAGAGTGCACCAAAGCACTTGGTCTTCCATCTTGTCTCCAGCCTGTCATGCACTGTGCTCTAGGTATCAGCTGCTGCTTGGCCTGCATCTGAGCGGACCAGCCAGGGTTTCTTCAGTGCTCATGCCTTGTGCCTGGTGTAGTCAATGCCCAGGAAGCACTGCTGTTTTCACGAACATGGACTGGCTCATCACTCACCTTCTGTGTTGCATCCAGTGGACACATTCTGCTCCTCCTACAGTGCGTTGGGTAACTGGCCCCAAATGTCTGCAATCTAGAGCCAGAGAAGGCAGGAAGAGAGGGAAAAAGACCCAGGAGGCGATCTGCCAAAGATCACCACATGAGCTCACACTCACGTGGGCAAACCTGGGAAGGAAAACACTTCAGGGTCTATGACAGATCCCAGAAGACATGAGGTAGATGGCTCTGTGAAGCCCCAGTGGCCATGCTTTGCCTGGTCAGAGCCCTGGAAGGCCAGGGCCTGGATCCCAGCAGTGGCCTTGATCTTGGGCTGTTTACCTGAGGAAATGTCACACAAGCTTTGTCACCATTAGCCAGATGGAGCAGATGGCTGACAGCAGCCAGAAGCCAATGGAGACAGTCTGTTTGGATACCAGAGCAGACTGATGGATCATAGAACATGGTCCTGAACCAGTCCATCCCAGGGCCCTGTGTCTGGAGTCAGCAGGACAGGCTGCTGTTAAGATTCTTGTCAAGGGAGATGGTGTGAAGAGGGCAGAGCTCCTCACAGGTTCCTTTCTGTGTACTCTTGTTGCTGTAGACTCAAGCCACTCCCTCAGGTCAGAAGCAACTGCCCTTCCCTAAAGGTTGAAGGACATACCATGCTCTTCTGAGGACGTGTTAGTTGTACCAGCTACCCATAGGTAACCTGGGCTCCATAACTACCACAGGATAAGCCTAGCTGCAGGCAGATACCTGCTGAAGCAACTCAGCTCAGGAGGGTGCCTACTTTTAACTGGGAGGCTGTCCTGAAGGCCGCCAGGACGGGCCTAGGCAATGGTCACTGTGTTTGGGGAGCTAGTTTCAGG